ACAGAGGATATAATAATAATTTACATGGGGAATCAATAATATAGACACCCCTAGTATTTCTATGAATAGATTCATTTATGAAAGTTGTGTATTTTGCTCATTTCGTTTGTATCATTTGGATCATGCCAAAAAGAAAGAAGGGATAGCCTTAACATACCTTAAATCTGTTGAGTCCTTAATGCCTTCCAAGAAATTCTTCAAACAACTCAATTCAATCTACCACATCATAAGGAGATTCAAAATCAGTGCTGAGTAAAGGCTAAGTCCTCAACTTAAATTAGTAGCTCGTTTACATAAATTTGGGCAGCATCTCCCCTGTAACTAGGCCCTCCTCCAATACCATATACCAACAACAACAATAACACAACAATAACAATATGTAAGCATCATTTTTCAACCTTATCTCCATCACAATATACCACAAAATAGCCCACACATCCTAATCACTTCATATATAAAACGACAACCAAAGTAGTGTCAAGCAACTTAAAAGAATGTAACGACGAACGACCAGCCCACTATTCCATCATTATGTGGTGTTTCTCCACACCATTTGTCCTCCAAAACTCCATTAAATAGTAGAAAAATATAAAGCCTAAAGGCAACATGAAACAGCCCATAAAACAGTCCACTACAAGTCAAATAACTTGAACTCACGGCTTCCGACCATCGTCCCGTAAGTTCTAACTATTAGGAAACGAATTTATCAACATCCCTTGATATTTAAATACTTAAATACAGAAAGTACACATTTTATTAACTATGAAGTACCTTCCAAAACTCAAACTACAAAGAAAAGGAGAGGCGATATAGCGATACTTACGTCGTAGGGATCGTTTTAATGTTATCGCTTCTTGATTCCGTACCCGGGATGATAATATTGTTTGAAGCTCTTGTAGAGAGCTTAAGAGTAAAGTTAGAGGTGTTATTTGGGCGAGCTCTCTGGAAAAATGGAGAAAAAGACGAGATGGGATGTAAATATCCCATTTTTTTTAAAAGTTAAAAAGGTGTTACTTGGCACCCTATGATTGGCCCTTTTCCAACGCTTATAACTTTTTTTTCCGGATGTCGTATGAATGAACGGTTAAGTGCGTTGGAAACTAAATTCCAAGACCTTCAATTTGGTATATAATATGTCTCCAAAAAACCTCATATAGCACACAAAATATATTTCTCAAAAAGCTCTGTTACATAGCAAATCCTTAGTCGGTGTTTCCGCAACTTTAATTCGATTTTCCCCAAACTTCATATTTTCTATTCAAATATCATATATAGCCATATTATGACTTTAAAATTATTTAAAGCATGATTAATAAGTCTCATATTCATTACGTTACCTTGGGACGCACAGGGTGTAACAATAAGATTGAATAGGAAGGAAATGAAGGCATAAGCCTCAAAGGAATCAAATTGCACGATGAGGAATCAAGAATGGAAGTGATCCTAACAGTCCGGTAGCCTTTCGAAGATAAGTACAGACGTATCCTTACCGATCCGCGAGACTCTACTAGACTCGCTCATGACTCGTGAGACCTAAGTGAATCTAGTGCTCTGATACCATGTTGTCACAACCCAAAATCCATTAAAGGTCGTGATGGCGCCAGACACCGCTGTCAGGCAAGCCAAGAATAAATACTTAATTTGGTTCTCATTTTAATATTTTTGTAATCATATTTCCTTCAATTAAATAGTAAAAAATAGAATTTACAAAGTAAATAATAATATTTTTAACAATTTCAATACAGGACAACCCATAATCACCCCAAAATCCGGTGTCACAAGTGCATGAGCATCAACTAGGAATGTAAAATAAAATACAGCATCTGTCCGGAATACAAATTTGGACATGAGAAATATAAATACTCTGAAGGAGACTCTGCTGGCTGCGGATCGTAGTATAGAATGCAGCTCATCTAAGTCCCCGCAATAAGCGCGCCTCTGCGCCCATAAGGCCACTAGACATATATGTACCTGCAAAAAAATATGCAGCAAGTGTAGTATGAGTACGTATATCAATGTGTACCCAGTAAGTATCCCGCCTAACCTCAAAGAAGTAGTGATGAGGGGTCGACTCCGACACTTACTAAGGGCTAACACTAAAATACCGATATTATAATTAAGGGTGGATTGTATAGAACGGCTGTAAACTCAATAACATGAAATAAGTAAACAATTCTTTTGTTAATAGGAACCTTCCAAATTTATTTTCGTCATTTAACATTTTTGTATCTCGGGCCAATGAAAGAAATATCAATTATTATCAATTCCAAAGATATACCATGCACAAATTATGCTGAGGTCGTACGGCCCGATCCAACATAAATATTTAAACTGTGCACTACCGAGGGTCGAACGGCGCGAACCATAGATGCATTTATCTGCTACCGAGGCATTCAGCCCGCTCCACAAAAGAGAAAATACATTAAATAATCAATTCAAGATTTATTAAGGGGCAAATATTCCAAGAATTTCAAATTCTCATTTAACGGTCAAGTAAATGAAGATTAACCTTTTTACAATTCCTTTATCGAGTTTCTAAATATTTTAAACAATTAAATTAACAAGTAGGGTGCAAACATCACAAGTACAATATGATATGGGTCCTAGACTGCCCGGACATAAGTATAATAGTAGCTACGCACGGACTCTCGTCACCTCGTGCATACGTAGCCCCCACAAATAGAAACAGATAATGATTTGATTCACCTATGGGGTTAATTATCTCTTACAAGGTTAGAAAGGAGACTTACTTCGCTCCGAAATTTCATAACCGGCTCCAAAGACTTTCCAACAACTGAAACCAATGCCCATCGCTCCAAAACTAGTCAATAAAGGTGCAAATCCATAAATATATACTCTAATACTCATTATAATTCAATTTTCAACAATTTTCAACTCCGCTCGAAAAGTCGATAAAATCGCCATCGGGCCCACGTGCCCGGATTCTGAAATTTTTCAAAGATAAACATTACTCATGGAATCACAAACTCAAATATATAATTTACTCTCAAATTCATGCCCAAATTCGTGGTCAAAATCCAAAAATATAAATTTCTAGGTTTTCTACAAAATCCCAAATTTTCACTAATTTTTCATGAATTTCCATGTTAATATCTATATATAATCCAAGTATTTAACTTGCAATAGGTGAGAATCACTTACCTTGATATAGATGATGAACATCTCCTCTTCAAAAGCTCAAAACATCGCCCAACCAAGAGAGAAATGAGTGAAATGGGCTAAATCCCGCTTTAAAAAAATTCTGCCCAGCACAGTCGCCCCTTCTTCGCGTTCGCGACCAAAGCCTCGCGTTCGCGATGCCTTCAGGCCCTACTGCTTCGCGTTCGCGGTTGAAGCTTCGCATTCACGGTTGAAGCTTCGCGTTCGCGAAGGCTAAATGACTCCAGGCCCCCGCTCCCTCTCTTTTCTTCGCGTTCGCGTAGCCTTGGCCGCTTTCACGAAAGCCTTCCCAGCTACTGCCTTGCGTTCCCGTCCACTGCCTCACGTTCGCGAAGGCCAAATCCCAGCAGCCTCAAAGTTCCTCTTCGCGAACGCGGGACTCCCTTCGCGTTCACGAAGAAGGAAACCAGATACCAGCAACAGCAGTTCCAAAACAGCTCAAATTGATCCGAAACCACCCCGAAATACACCCGAGGTCACCGAGACCCCGTCCAATCACACCAACCAATCCCATAACATAACACAGACCTGCTCGAGGCCTCAAACCACATTAAACATCACCAAAATCATGAATCACACCCCAATTCAAGCTTAATGAACTTTAGGACTTCAAACTTCTACATTCGATGCCGAAATATATCAAATCACATCCAATTGACCTCAAATTTTTCACACAAGTCATAATTGACATTACGGACCTACTCCAACTTCTGGAATCGGAATCCGACCTCGATATCAAAAAGTTCACTCCCGGTCAAACTTTTCAAAAACCTTCAAATTTTCTTTTTTCGCCAAATGACCCGAAACGACCTACGGACCTCCAAATCCACTTCCGGACGCATCTCTAAGTCCAGAATCACCATACAGAGCTATTCCCAGGCTCGGAATCCCAATCGGACATCGATAACATTGAAATTCACTTCAACTCAAATTTATGAAATCCTTCCAAAATGCCAACTTTCCACAATAGGCGCTGAAACGCTCCCGGCTGTCCAAAACCCGATCCGTACATACGCCCAAGTCCAAAATCATCATACGAACCTGTTGGAACCTTCAAATTCCGATTCTGAGGTCGTTTACTCAAAATCACACCTTAGTAAATTCTTTAAACTTAAAACTTCCGAAATTAGAATTTTCTTTCTAAATCAACTCCGAATTTTCCGAAATTCAATTCCGACCACACGTACAAGTCATAATACCTTAAGTGAAACTACTCAAGGCCTCAAACCGCCGAACGGCGTGCTAAAGCTCAAAAAGACCGATCGGATCGTTACACTACAAAACATAGTGAACATAGGTAAATAAGTTTCTAATATAGTATAACTAGGTAAAAATCCCAATTATACGGGTACGTTGTTATACCATGCAACCAATCATTTAGACCATATTTTGGACCGGGCTTCATATAGAGCAAGCCCAGTTTCCTAAATGGTTTAAACCTCAACTACGAAATTCTAATCTAACGACATTTCACGTCTTCTTCTTCCCTTTATCGCCGGCTTTACGGCATCTTTGCCGAGAATCAAAAAATAACCGTCAAGCTTAAAACTGACAAGCCCAAAACAAACTCCTTAAAATCCACCAATCTCACACCTAAACTTACCGAAAAACAAGAACTCCAAACTATAATTAACAACTTCAAAAAATTATCGGAATCCCCTCAATTCCGACGCCACTACTCCAACTATCAAACCGCCATTCGCCGCCTTGACAATAATTCTTCCGCTATCAAAGACATTCTTGAGCACCAAAAACAATACCCGGAAATTAGCAATGAGTTATTTGTCTCCCGCCTCATACTCTTATACTGTACAGCAAAAATGTATGAACATGCCCATAAATTGTTCGACGAAATGCCAAACTTAAAATGTCAGCGAACTGTTTATGCTTTCAATGCCCTTCTAGAAGCCTGCGTAAGGGCAGAAAAGTACGATACTATGAGAGAGTTGTTTCAGGAATTACCTGAGGAGTTATCGATTGAGCATGATGTAGTGTCCTATAATACTTTGATTAAGGCATTATGTAAATCTGGTTCTTTGGATTTTGCTATCAGTGTAATGGATGAGATGGAAAATCAGGGGATTAAACCTGATAAAGTGACTTTCAATACGCTTTTGAAAGCTTATCATGAATGTAAAAAGTTTTCTGAAGCAGAGGATTTGTGGGTATTGATGCAAAAGAAAAACATTGTTGCTGACCTGTGGAGTTACAACATTAGATTACGAGGTTTAGTTGCGAATAACCAGGTTAACGAGGCGATTGGGTTGTTTGAGGAGATGGGGAAGAAAGACATCATCCCCAATGCTTTGAGTTATAACACGATAATCAAAATGTTTGTGGGTGATAGGAACTTGGAGGAGGCGAAAAGATGGAATGAGAAAATGGCGGAAAATGAGCGTTATCCGGATAATGCAACATTTGGGATGCTCATTCATTTTGCTTGTGACAAGGATGATCTTGATTTTGTACTTGACTTGTGTAAGAAATCTATGGATTCAAAAGTTACAGTTCATAATGCAACAATGCAGAGGATAGTTGATGACCTGGTTCAGCATTCGAAGCTTGAAGTCGCAAAGGAGCTGGTGAACTTGGCCAAATCATATAAGCGATTCCGGTATAAGCTTTCGTTTCCTTTGCTTCAATAGTTATGCGCTTTTATTTGTACTACTGTTCTTGCTGAACTATGCTTTTAGGATTTATTAATATGTTTATGANTTTTAGGATTTATTAATGTGTTTATGAATAGCCCTCATGATTTAAGAGTATAAGTTCTGAGGAATGCTTCAATTGAATGTATAAAAATTTTGCTTATAGCAATTGAGGTCCATTGGTATTTAACTGTCAAAATATATCAAAACGGATTTACTAGTCTTAATTAATTTTGCTATTTAAAGAATCTTATCCTGGGCATGAGGTATATCATTGACATGAAGGCCTCTAGATCAGCTGATAATGTTAGCACTCCTAGTAGTAGCATTATAACTAAAGAAAAGAAAATTAGTTGGTTAGCACCATAGGCACCTATTTTAGAGGCAAAAGATTGTAAGAAAACCCAGGCTCCCCGGTTTTGGTTCAGTAGCAAGAACACAACATATGATGTTTGTGTTTAGGCGCACGTCGCAAGTTCGAACTTTGCCACGGCAAAAATAGCAAAGGGGGATGCTAATTAGTTATCGAAATTTAAATGGTGTACCAACTGACTCTCTGAAGATTTTCAATTGTCAAAAATAAAGAAGATTGTAATACATCCAGTACAATAGGACTGATTAAAAAACAATGCACCCAGTACAATAGGTCAACCATGGTAGGTTGACGGGTTGGCCATAAAACTTTCAGCAATATAAACTCAAATCTCATTGTAGATCTAAGACATTATTAACTCCAATACAACAATAATAATACCTTTTAGCCATGAAAGAAGATTTGAATTTCTGAGGATTTCTATCAATTCACACTTTCATCATCAACATATATGAGAAGTCTATTGACTTAATACATTCAAAACTTTAGCATTCAACTTTATTTTTAAACAATCACCAATAAGGTTGCCGAAAATAATAGGCAAAAGGGAAATAGACAAAGTGGAAGGGGATAATACCTCTACACATCAAACTAGAATGGATAAGGCATATCCCTAAGCATTATGGATTTGAGTAAAACTAACTTAAGTAAAAACCAAATGCATTATCTTAATTTCGTGCTATACTTAAGGTAAAAGAAACCCTAACGCCTGACCATCAGTTTATCCTCGAATTATGGATAAGATTTTTCATGGAGTCATAGAACTCATGATTATGTGCATAATCGTGAGTTTCCACATTTTTGTCACAAAATATTGACTTGATATGATCTTCGAGAACAGGAAGGCAATGATTCTCATCATAAGTGTACATCATAGAAACCATTCTGGCCATGTTGAGACATGTCTTTTGAAAGGAGAATGGAATTGGAGTTGGTGGGAGGCACTGTTTGTTGAGATCTTTTCATATGTCTGAAATCATGTCCATAACATGTTGCCTTTGTATCTTCAGTAGTTAAGCCATGTTGTTCTTTCATCAAGTACTCTAACATACGATCCATCACTCCCTTCTTGATGCTCATCCTATAGTACAATTAAAACTAGGAATTAGAAGATAAATTGGAGAACATTATTGGATGGTTAATCTTTCACTGGCTCGGTGACACGCCTCTACTTAATCATCAGTGATAAAGACACCCTTTAGAAAGGGTGCCACATGACACCGCATGGCAAAAAGATTTCCTTACATATGGGTGTGCGAGTAACATTTTTCTAGAAATAATATATACATATACAACAGGCCAACACCAGTTAAAAATTAATATAAATTAAGTATCAACACAGGAAGTAAAGTTTCAAAACTAATACTATAATTCTAGACTTCACTTATAAGCCAATTTTGACAATAGATCGTATGCAACTGAACTTGATAATCAGTGTAGGTAATCAGTAGGTCCAAGGCTCAAGTTACAGTGGAGGTAAGTGAAGAACTACTGTTGATCCATTAGGGGTATGGTAGGTAAGAAAAAAAACAATCTTTTGAAATTGAATACCATTATCTTTTTACCTGAACATTCCCGAGGTCATCTAGAAGGCGAAGAATTTGGGCAACCCACGGAATATATCATGCCTTGTACATTAGCAAGGAATAAATCCCTTTAAATCTTGCCTTAATTTCTCTAGAAAACATCCTTTCTCTCCCTTAAAGTTGTTAAACACGTCTGCACAAGGTAGATTACATGTTCTTTAAATAAAGGATTTATCTTATAATTTATAACTAACAGTGTAAACTTTTTCACAAATACTACATGTTACGTATAATCTAATTACAAGTAATTGTCTATAATAAGTAGAATTTAATTAAGTTCGATGCATGATGTTGTAGAAATATTTACACATTTATGTGTTGATTTAAACGTTTATTACATGTAACTTTTTACAATAAGCATTAATGAAAACCCGAAAGACTAGTAACACGTGTTTAAATTATATTGATAGTGCATACAAATTTATACTATGAATGCAAATAACTTAAATTAAAGGCAAAATACATAAACTTACGGTGTCGATCTTAGCCTCGAACGAGCTCGAGGATAACTAACAGAAGACCGAAATATCCGCGATCTGACGGATATTACGGCGAGAATCTCGTCACGTATCAGCAGGGAACTGGTAATCAGCAAATCAAGAGATTTTTACCTTTTATACAAATGTACCTAGAATAGGACTGCTCTACTATATAAAGGGGGTCTGATAATTCATTCAACATATTGTAACACACATCCCAAAGCAATATATTATTATTTCTAGTTCTCATTATCTTGTTATTCTGTTCCGGCATCGATAGAAGCATTTCTGACTCGAGCGTGACTAATCTTCAATGCTAAGATTGTTCAACTTGTGTGGTTTGTATTTATTTTTCATTGCTTATTTCAATATTAATCTGATTTCTCATTTTGCATCAAGTTAGATCACGTATCCTTTAAACCGCGTATAAATTCAATTGTTATCCGATCTTGAGGGTAAACAGTTTGGCTCCCACCATGGGGCTGAGGATAATAGTGGTCATTTGATACAAATCTCCATAACACAAACTACTTTACACTTGCTCTTTGAAGTATCTTTGATTTCAGGCTAAAATACAAAAATGTCAAACTCTCAATCAACACCTTTGCATGTTGACAACGAGTCCGGTCACCAAGGTGAAAACAACAACATAGCGCCCAGTAACGAAATACCATATGCTGATCCCGTTGGAATTCCGATCGCAGATCCGATTGACGCTAATTCGCATCTGGCTATCGATGCAAACTTGCCTACCGACCCCGAAAACAGCATTCGTGGTGGAGCCCGATCGGCAACTCGAAACACGCAAAACGTTGAAGGAGAAGGGATCAGTCTACGAGTGATCTTCGAAATATTGCAGGCTCAACAGGCGGCGATAACTCAGTTTCAGAACCAAAGCCGTCCACCGAGCAAGGTTGAGCCCGATCCTCCCCAGGAAGTCACCCACTGGGATGAACTGGTCATAGAAAGGTCGAACAAACACGAATCAGGGGCTAACCCCGAGATCATAAAAATGCCCGAGGAGCTGACAAAATGGATAGAATCAGTGGAGAAGAAGATCGAGGATAACGACAAAAAGGTGGAAACCTACAATTCCAGGGTAGACCAAATCCTAGGAGCACCTCTGGTATTGAAGGGCCTGGATTCCAGGAAGTTCGTGCAAAAATCTTTTCCATCGAGCGTGGCTCCGAAGCCGATCCCCAAGAAGTTCCGTATGCCCGAAATACCCAAGTATAACGGAACGACCGACCCAAACGAGCATGTAACCTCTTATACATGTGCTATCAAAGGGAACTTCCTGGAGGACGATGAGATCGAGTCTGTTCTGTTGAAAAAAATTGGGGAGATCCTGTAGAAGGGAGCTATGATATGATATCACAATTTACCTCCTAATTCTATTGACTCATTTGCTATGCTTGCAGATTCTTTCGTAAAAGTACACGCAGGTGCCATCAAGGTCGAGACTAGGAAATCGGACCTTTTTAAAGACAAACCGAAGGATAACGAGATGCTCAGAGAGTTTGTGTCCCAGTTTCAAATGGAATGAATGAATCTGCCGCCAGTCGCTGATGATTGGGCTGTTCAAGCTTTCACTCAGGGACTTAATATTCGAAGCTCGGTGGCTTCACAGCAGCTGAAGCAGAACTGAATAGAATACCCGGCTCTTACATGGGCCGATGTGCATAACCGATATCAATCGAAAATCAGAGTCGAAGATGATCAACTCGGGGCCCATTCGGGGTCTGTTTATCCCGTCAGAACCCTAGACAGAGTCAAGAGAGATATGAATCGCGAACGAGGCCAAACAGGGATCGGTATCAACCGTATAATGGAGATCAGAGAAGCAGAGGGTCCGGGTGAAACTCCATGAGAAACGAAAGGATAAATGATCGAGGTCAAAGTAGCCGGGAACTTATGACCAAAAATGGCTTCGACAGGTCCAAAGACGCACCGAGGCTATCGGAATATAATTTCAATGTCGATGCCGCCGCCATTGTATCAGCTATCGGGCGCATCAAAGATACCAAATGGCCTCGACCTCTACAGTACGATCCAACCCAAAGGGATCCTAACCAGATGTGCAAATATCAATGCACTCATGGTCACAGAACGGAAGATTGTCGACAGTTGAGAGAAGAAGTGGCCCGTCTATTCAACAATGGGCACCTTCGGGAGTTCTTGAGCGACCGAGCCAAGAATCATTTCAGGAACATGGATTCTAACAAACAGGAAGAACAAGAAGAACCTCAACACGTCATTAACACGTTCCCATAGGGGCCGATGTTGAAACGCACCAAAGTATCCATCACTAGGGAGAAACGAACTCGAGACTACATACCGAAGGCAACTTTATCTTTCGATGACGAGGATGCTGAAGGGATCATGCAACCCCACAATGATGCACTAGTAATATCTGTAATCGTAAATAAAATTCGAGTTAAACGTGTATTAATTGATCCAGGTAGCTCAGCCAACATCATTCGATCAAGGGTCATGGAGCAGCTCGGCCTACAAGACTAAATCGTGTCTGCAGTTCGAGTTCTGAACAGATTCAACATG